CTGATTAGGGGTGGGGGGGAGGGCAAAGGTGGCCCCAGGGCCGCCTTTGCCCTGCCCCCCAGCTCTTAGCTCCCCCTGGGTTTCCAATCACTGTCAGTGGCAAGGGGCTTCTTCCTGCTTTCCCTTTCGCCTCCCTGCATTGTGCCTACATATGCAAATTAACCGCCATCTTTGTTGTCAGTTAACTGCCATCTGAGTTGGCAGTTAATTTGCATATAGCCCTGATTAGCCAATGAAAAGGGTAGCGTCGTACGCCAATTACCATTTTTCTCTTTTATTAGTGTAGATGATAACACACACTGAGATAGAATGCTATTTTATTGTAGAAATAATAACCAAAAGACCACAAAATATTGAGGAGAAAGTACTTTTTTTGTTTTAAATTTCCTAGGAGTCACCTAGGTTCAGGAATGTATGCAGATGGCCTAGTTTCTGTCCACTTGACTTAATCCATTTGTAACTCATATGCTGAACCTGGCTGTTTAGCTGGAGGTGGAGCCATGGCCATCCTGTAAATATGATAATTCCAATCTTCTACAGAGCTATTAAAAAGAGGATGTTCCATTGGTAGGATTTGGTTTTCACTCTTGGTTTTGCATGTAACCCTAGCAACCTTTATTTCAAGAAGACATGATTTAAACTGTTGGCTTGAATTCATTTGATTTGCAGAGTCTCTCTTCTGTTTAGCTTTTAAAACAAATACCATCAGCTTTGAAGTGGGATTATAACTTCCTTTTCATCTGGGTAAAAGTTTGTATGGTTTGTCTGTTACACTGGTAAGTTATGAAGGAATTTGGTAAATACCCACAAAAAAAAACCTGAGACATACTTCAATGAACTTGTATGGAGCTTTGTTTTTAGGGTATACCTTATAGGTTCCCTTTGGTCTTAGAAACAGAAAAAAAAAAAGCTCTTGTTCCCCTGTCTCTTTATTCCTCCTCTAGTCTTCAACTTGCCATCGTACTTCCTGTTTGAATCTTCCCCATTCATTCTGCCAAGAAATGGGAAATCTTACTAACAGCTGATGGTTCCCATATGGCAGATCCATCTAGAGAGGATTGGGGAAGCAGGCGCCAGGCCCTCCTCGGCGGTCTCTGTTAGCCCAGACGCTGCAGGATTGAAATAAAAGATAGTGTTTCATTTTCAGAACCCCTTCCACCTACATTATCTCATGTTAGTGTCTGAGAGAAGCAGGGTTGAAGCCTGCCAGAGGAGCTGGTGAATGTTATTTCTCCTTCCTGCTTCTCGCCATCTTGAGTCCTGATTGATGAAGCTGGTTCTCCACGGCTCCGGTGAGCTGCCTTCTCTTCATCACAGCCTTGCTTCAGGATTTAGTACATGACGCTTATTTCTACACATAGGCAGCGCCCCCCCCCCTTTTTTTTCAATGGAACATTCATCCTTCGCCACAATATTTAATTTCTACTTATAAAATTTTACTTGCAATCTTAGACAAGTTTATAGAAAATACAGTTGCTATCTGGAAGTTCCAGTTAAGGAGATGCCAGCACTAAATTTGTAGCAAGAGCATAAGAATCAACCTCCAAATTAAAAGATACTAAAGGAAATTCAATACCTTTTACTGCTGCTCTCACTTCCTTTCTGAGCAGTGGCTCTCAACCTTCCTAATGCCCTTTAATACAGTTCCTCATGTTGTGGTGACCCCCAACCATAAAATTATTTTCGTTGCTACTTCATAACTGTAATTTTGCTACTGCTATGAATCGTAATGTAAATATCTGATAGGCAGGGTGTATTTTCATTGTTACAAATTGAACATAATTAAAGCATAGTGATTAATTACAAAAACAATATGTCGTTATATATGTGTTTTCCAATGGTCTTAGGCGACCCCTGTGAAAGGGACATTCGACCCCCAAAGGGATCGCGACCAAAGGTTGAGAACTGCTGTTTCTGAGGCTGTTCTTTACCTGGCATCTTCTTCCCCTGTAACTCAACCTCCCCTCCCCCCACACACACACACTTACTATGTTAATCTACAGCTAATGCCCTCATCACATTGTATTATGATTATTTTTTTGTATATCTGTCTCTTCTACTAAACCATCAGCTCCTTGAGGGCAACCTCTGTTTTTGTTTGATTTTTTAATGTTTGTTTTATTTTTGTCTCTGTATCTGATAAATGGTGTCATTGTGTTTCCCTCAAATTTAAAGTATCCCATGGCACTCTGGGCTGCCTTGGGAACCACAGTTCCTGAGTGACTGGAGCAGAGAGTTTTTGGCGAAGGTGGCCAGAGAAGTCTTTTTTGGAGGGCGTGGCAGTTGGATTAAGGCCCGAATGATAAGGAAGAATCATAACCAGTTTGCCGGGGTAGAATGTGGTGATCTGAAGGAGGCTGGTGTGAAGGTCTGGAATAGAGAGTAGAGGAGTGTGAGGTGAAGCCAGTTCATTAAATCCCCACAGTCCATGGGAAGGGAGTTTTGTTTCCTCCCAACTTCAGGGGAAAGCCTTTGGAGGAGTTTAAGCCAAGGAGTGTTGTCATGAGATGTCCATTTTGAAGAGATTATTTGGTTCTCTGTAGAAGACCGCTGTGGTAGAGGGCAAACTTGAAAGCAGCTAAGCAAATAGGAGACCAGTGCAGATGCTCAGTTTTGAGATGCTGGTGGGCTGAACTAGAGGGAGAAGTGGTTGTATTGGAATCTACTTCATTAGTAGCTTGTAGAGTGTATTGGCAGAACTTGGTAGTTGCCGAATAAGAGCTTATGGAAATTTTAATAAGCTGGTTCCTTAAAAGCAGTTACTCTGTTTCATCATTATTCACTATGTTTTTCTTTTATTCTATTTCAATACTCCCAGGACCCTGCTTCTAAAATTCTTTGGCTGGATGAGATACAACACGCAGTCTATGAGGCCAACAGGGACAAGGAAAAAGCAAAACAATGTAAGCCCTCACCTCCTTTTGCTGGCCCATCTTGCCTTGCTTGTATCTGCTTATGCTTCTGAATTTTTATTTTTATTCATAATTTTTTAATGCATAAGTTGTAATTTCTGAAAAGGTTGGACTTCTACCAATTTGAGTTCTTGAATACATATGTATACAACAATAGGATTCATTGGTTGCACTATTTTCAATGACTTAGGTGCTCTTTCCAGCAAAATCTGAGAATGTAACCAAACAAAACCCAGGAAGCAAAAAATGGTTTCTAAATTTTCAAATTTATAGTCCAGTCAAGTCCTTTTTTATCTTAATCTTAAAAAACTAGCCCATTTTTGCTCAATAAATGTTCGTCCTCCCTTCCAGGCCTTTCATTGTGTTAGGGTTTTCCAGAGAAAGAACTACATAAATATTTTTCTCTGGAAAAAACCAACTACAAAGATAGATAGATAGATGATAGATAGATAGATGATAGATAGATAGATAGTTCTGTTTCTCTGGAAACTGTATTGTATGTATACATCTATCTATACTGCACATACATATAGAGAGAGAGAAAGGGAGATTTCTTTTTAGGAATTGGCTCATGCATTTATGGAGAGGCCGGCAGAAGCTGGGTGGCAGCACTTAATCACCCAAAGACAAATGGATGCAATTTATAATGAACAGCAGAGTGAACGCAGTAATCAGAACAGTCTAACTCACAGAGACCTATGGAATTGGCTGATTGAACATGGTGCTCCTGGAATGAAATAGACAGCCTACTAAATTTTTACTTGTCTAAGCGGAAGAGGAGTTCTAGGTCAAGTGAATAGAAGTATAACTTAGATTATAAAAACAGGAAGTCTTGGCCCCTTAATGATTTATAGACCCAGAACTCCCTGAGGAAAGGGAAGGCGGGGTCCTCTTTGAGAAAGAACTCTGTTACACTATCACATTTTTATCCTGTTCATCTTTCTCCCAGGCTTTCCCCAAAGAGATCTATGGCCTTTTATCATGTGATTGTGCTGGGAGAAAGAACATAATCAGACTTTTCAGGGAATTACTGAATCCTGAAGTGACACTAATTCCAGGAGACTTAAAATGTCATTGTGATCAGAGTAGTGGCTTATGGAGGCCAGCTGATCAATGGAGTTTCAGCTCAGGTCCGTCTCTCAGGGCCCAGTAGGTCCTCAAACCCATCCTGGGATTTCTTCCCCAAGTCCAGATGCATAACTGGAATGGACATACTCAGCAACTGGCAGAATCCCCACATTGGCTCAAATGAGAACAGTTTTTTTATGCTATGCCTCTGTTTCATGGAGGAATCATGAAAATTCACATGGCAATCTAAAATAGCTTCAAGATTGATATACTAACACTTTACATATATGAACAGCCTAGATAAAATAAGATTCCCAAAAGGCTCGTTCATTGAGCTGTCCATTCATGGCATAGCTAGAATCTATCCTGAGCTGTCAGGTCATAGATTGCTATTGAGATGCCTTCCTCTTGCTGCAGAGATAGGCTTTTAAACTTTGGAAGCACCTGTGAGGAACATCTGGGTTTTATTTCCTTTGCCAGGAAAAACATGTGTATTTCTCCAACCTGAACTTGCATAGCCTTAGGATCTTTGAAGTCTTTTTGTTCTAGCACTGTAATTGTTAAGAAAAAGAAAACAAAGTTGAGATGTGTACATAAATGATTTAAATATAAAACTGAAAGCAATGTAGTTTGAAGAAAGACTTTCGAGAAATTGGATTATAATACAGGTACTCAAGTAGCCTAGAATTTTCCTCTTTTATTCCTTTTATTCTGTGTTCTTCTTACATTTGGCCTGCAAATGTTGACTCTGTTTTTCACATGAGACTCAAGGTTCTATTTATTGGCTATGAAAGTGAGAGGTTTCCTCATGTGTATGGTTTTGTACTCTGCACTTGCACATTTAAAATCCTACCTTCTACCTCGGTCCCGTCCCTCAGACTAGTTGATACAGTTTCTTCTGTGTTGTATGACAACAAAGAGATGTTCTGAAGATAAAACCGCTGTCTATTATGACACTGAGATGAGAATTTTCCAGTTTCTTAACAGGAATTTAATCTTACTTTTAAAAGCATTTTTTCAGCCTTTGTATGAAGACTTGAAACAGATTCTGGTCACATGTTATAAGCATCAACCCTACTCCCAGATAATTTGATCAAAGAAATTGTGTTGGCTCATATACTTTCCCACGGGCAAGATCTAAAAGGGCAGAGGAACTCAAGTCTCCTTCATTTTGGCCCAGTGTTCATGTTCACTGAGCACCTTGCTTTCTTAAAGTAGGTTTCTCTACTTTCGACTGCCTTTTCCATTATTGCACCCTAAGGAATCTTTCTAGACATTGGTTTCTCTAATTGGACCTCACCATGAAATTCTTTTTCTCACCATGAAATGGTAATACCACAGATACATTGTATATATGTTTATATGCCATATGTAGATCTGCGCTTTATACATAAAAAAAAATTTTTTTTACCTTCTTCCCCTAAGAACCAATATTTGTTCTACTGGGTGTTATATCACTTCTCTTTTGAGAAAGGCTGCTGGTATATGGCATAAGATGTAAAGCAAACATGTTTTTGGATTTCTTACACGATTCATGAGAGGTTTCCTAATTGTTTCTTGGTAGAAATATGCCTGATGTAATGGAGATCCTTTACCTGACATCCTCAGCTATCTGGAATTTAACCACAGCCCACAGATTAAGCCAAAAGGCAATCAGAATAGATATCAAGAAGCCTGTGTCCTGGAACTGATTTACTCTACTCATTGGGGACCTCTTGGACACACACTTTGAGCCTGTTTATTCTTATCTCAGGCATAATGCTGATATGCTTGGTTGTTTCTCTTCCCACCTCCAAGCACATCAGGAGCCATGAATTAATTACCAAACAGTTAAGTTTGGGGCTGCCCTCTGCAGGCACACTGCAGTGAGAAGTGATAGCTGACAGTGACAATAAGGGAAAAACTAAAAAGCATGGGAATTTGAGGCCATTTAGTGCAGGAGCAAAGAAGCCCAAATACCCCTGTAGGGCTTGAAAGTATCCCTCACTGTATGATAGTACCATACAATTGTAATGACATGAGGGACTCTTCTGGCAGCTCTCAGCAAACATTAAGCACCTTCTGTGTACCAGGGACTATGGGTAAAATGATGAGCCGTGTAGAGACTGTTCTGTTAGGGTTTTCTCCAGGGCTTTAGATTTTCATGGAAAATGGTTCTGTTAAAATTAAAAATAAGCTTCAGTTAGCTGGAAAGTTAAACTATGGACCTACTCCTTGAGTATAAACACTCAATAATAAAGCGCATTACTATATGCAAGAAATGTATGACTTTAACACCCATCTTTCAAGGAAAACAGCATTTTACTGGGTTGGATGTAACTATCAGATGTAATTCATGTAACAATTCTTTGACATTTACTTGTTCCTTCTGCTGCTCTCAGACCACAAACTTCTCAGACACTAGTACTGCATTTTTCTCATCCTACAAAGACTTGCTGGAGGAGAGGAGAGGGGGGCCGCTCCCCCATTCCTGTTAACTCCAGCACAGGAACATATTGCCATACCTTTTGTTTGGCAACAGTTGGGGTCTGCCACGGAAGTTCTCCTTAATTTTTTCCATGCTCCTCCAGATTTGCGTGACTTTGACTCCAGGCTGCTACAAGTCAAACTGTGTTTTTTCTGCCCTGTCAGCCTTTTTAGTTCTATACACATGTGGACATAATTTGATAACAACAATATACCATTTAGCATTTGTATGGTAGTGTTTGATGTGCATGTGTTTTAAAAAGTAAAAGAAAACATATCTCTCTCTCCTCTTTTCATCAAGATCATTTTCCACCTAAACAGTATTTTAAATTAGTTTCTTCCATTTTTTTGTTCTACATTTCTAACTCACTGCATTTACAGGTTGTGAAAATAATAGTCCATTTGGTTAGGCCAGAATATTTTGTTTTAACCTTTATTGTTGAAAGTATTACAAATGTCTCCTTTGTTTGTTCGTTTTTCTCATTGATCCCCTCTACTCCACATCTGCCCCTCCCAAGCCTTCACCACTCTATTGTCTGTGTTCATGGCTTATACATATATGCATGTAAGTTCCCTGGTTAATTAGTTCCCACCCTACCTTCCCTCTGAAACTTATCAGTCTGTTCCATGCTTCTATGTCTCTGGATCTATTTTGTTCATCAGTTTATTTTGTTCATTAGATCCCACATGTGAGTAAGAGCATGTGATACTTATCTTTCTCTGGCTGGCTTATTTGGCTTAGCATACAGAATATTCTTACCTGGAACTAAAGTGGATAATAAAGAATCTACCATGTTGCTCTGACCAGATAGGTCAATAATTATCCAGCCAGAGCAACATGGTAAATTCTTGGTCCCAGTACACCAAGGTTGCGGGTTTGATCTCTGGTCAGGGCACATATAAGAAGCAACCAATGAATTCATTAGTAACTTTCTCCCTTCTCTCTCTCTCCATTTCTCTATATATAAAATCAATACACTTTTTAAAAAAATTTAAGAATTCACCATGCTAACTTTCTTCAGACAGCCCAGAGTTCAATGTGGTTTTATTTAAAGAAGAGGCAGAAATTTAAAATGTGATAAAATGCTTTATAGATCTAAATTGATTTCAGAATTAAGTTTCTGGACTCCATTGCATATATTGACTAGCTGTGCCTGTTGCCTCTCTAGAACATTTTTTTTTTTGGTTACTAATGACAATCTTGGAAGTATACTTGCACTATACAGAAGAATATCAGTATTTCCAAAGCTTAAATAGAATTTTACTTACTCTGAAATAAGTAAATGTCTTCATAAAGCTAGTTCTCAAATACCAATTAATGACATGTGTCTATGGATTTGCATTGACCCAATTTCAAAGATTATCACAGTGAACAAAATGAGAACCACACACGAGTAACCAGGAGATGCTGTGGTTTTTAATAAACCATGCTTCCATGGGATCTTTTTTTTTTTTTAATCTTCATCTAGGACATGTTCATTGATTTTCAGAGAGAAGGAGAGGGAGAGAGAGAAATAATTGATGTGAGGGAGAAACATTGATCAGTTGCCTCCCACAGGGGGATCAAACCCAAAACCGAGGTATGTGCCCTGACGGGGAATTGAACCGTGACCTCCTGCTTCATAGGTTGACGCTCAACCACTGAGCCACGCCAGCCAGGCTGGGATCTTACTCTCACAGCCTAGGCTGTTGGGTGAATTGATGACTGTCTTTTGGGCATATGTGGTTCATACTCTCAAAGGGTAATAAGGTTTGATACCAGTGTATTCCTAAAAGGTGGAATTATAGATTTACATGCCTGCAGGGTAAATACAAGATAAACTTTAACAGAAATACTTTTTTATTATTATCCAGGGGTTACACTGGTCGTTGATGTTAATCAGTGTTTGGAGAAAGAAAAGAAAAGTGATATTTTCTCTGTTTTGAAATCTTCCGTTGGTAATACAAATGATATAATCCCCGAATGTGCTGACAACTACTATGATGCCCTTACGAAGGCAAAAGAGCAAAAATCGAGAAGTGGTAAGCATTTTTGTCATTTAGCACAAGCTGAATATCATTTTGATTATGACAGTGTCTGTGGTATTGTATATTCTTAATTTTAAGACAAATAAACCAGATAAACCTATGAACATTGTTTGGATCGGGGGTGATGAGGGTGATTCTTAATCTCCTTCATCTCTGGTTCTAGGATGTGTGTTCTTTCCCAAACTGAAGTGACCACTCCTAAGTGGATCACCAAACCTTATAACTCAGTTTAGCTCTTATATAGAAGTATAATTTTGGTCTAGAAGGCATCTAGAAAGTATACTTCCTTTTGGATTGCTACCACCTCTTAACTAACTGGAATCTTTCTTTTTTATGGTTTTCTCCAAGGTTCATAATTAGTCTTTTCTCTTAGTAACAAGCCAACTACGTTTCTTAGGAAAAATACTTGGACCATGGACTGGAGACACCCTCTTCTGCCTCTTCTCTGACTGTAAATTCAAACTTAATTTGAAAATGATAACAATTCTCTTTTCCTATTATCCACTGAGACCATCCCAACCCAAATCAAGTCTTCTAATGCCAACTAAGGCCTTTTTACTTCTCACTTCTTTTTTTTTCTTTTTTTTTATACTAAGTATTTTATTTGTATGCTGCTGACAGTGTATATAAAATAATCATTCTTGTGAAATAGAAATTCATGAAAATTCAGAGAGGTAGATGTTAAGGACTGACAAAGGCAGAAGTTTGTAGAGTATGGCACATGTTATAGGGTAAGCCTTTTGTACAGGCTTCAGATTTAGCTCTCTTTGAATATTCGCCGGTTCAAGAAAAGTGGTTTAGAACATCTTCAAAATTCATTTTACTACAAAAAGGAACAAACTTTCTGGGGTCTGAAGGGATTGGTGCTTGAAGGTACTCCAGTCAACAGGGGGTCATGTTGAGCATTCTGCAGACAGAACTGTTTCAAATCTGCCGCTGCCTGGGAAACCTTCACGCGGTTGAGCCCGGCCTCCAGCCGGAGCTGTTGGACCACTTTCTTCATAGTGGTGACGCTGGAAGAACCAGACATGGTGCACGCGAGTGCCGGGCAGATTGGTCGGTAGCGGGTCGTGGGTCCGCGGGGGCCAGTCGGCGGGGCAGCGACGCGAGGGCTACTTCTCACTTCTTAATGCAAATTAGAGAATATATCTGGGTGTGTTCGTTTGTTTTTACCACTTTCACTCCTTCTTTCCTTCTCAATGAGAGAGTTGCCTTGAAAAGCATTTGTGGGTCTGACAGCTACTGGTAATTGAAAAAATAATTACTGTGATCATCCTAATTTGACTGTACAATATTTTTTTGAGGACACCAGTACTTCTAAACAGACAACAGCTGTCCGACTGTCCATTTGAAAAGAGACACGTCTCTCTTGCTGAGCATTGACAAATAGAACAGTTGAGGGTCTCTTAGAGCCAAATTAAGAATCAACACATAATAAAGGGCCTTAACCTTAACTCTGCTTAGTCTAATGTTCACTTGGCAGCAGTTGGTTTAGCTTGGTCTAGGTCAGAGCTTTTTTATTTTTATTGTTGTTTTTAGCCCTCTGGTCTGGGACAGCAAGCATGACCGTTCATTAAAATAAACGGATTTCTAAATAGAAAGGGTAGCCCATGGATTGGTGAAGAGGAGATATCCTTCTTGACCAAGTTAAGCCATGACTGCCATAGCTTTTTTCCTAGTACACCCCTACCCCCAAATTAAGTTCTTCCAACATTTTTCCCTTGTTTTGTGTGGTTGTATAGAGCAAAGTGAGTCAGAGGAACCAGAATTTTCCTTCTCCCTGCTTAGTGACTTTCCATATGCCATTGTGTACCTTGGATGAGTTGTCAGCAAAGATGAGCCGCTGCTGCTTTGGTTTAAAGCAGATCACTGGCCTTCTCTAAATAATGGGCTACAGTCCTTGCAGGTCACTTCTCATAAAAGTTGTGGGAGGTTTTCTTGCTCATGGGCCTCCTCTGTCTGCTGTGATGCTGTTCACGTTGACCTGAGATGCATTCCGGGTTCGCTTGTCCTTCTTGTTGGCCATTTGTGACTCCCACCATCCTCATGAAAAGCTTGGGATCCGAATCTGGCATTAGACGTCAGTCTTCCTTCATCTTGGCTTAGCAGAGAGCTGCTACTAAAGTACAGAGCATTCATCCATTTTAGTGAGTCGTTTCTAACGATTTTACTTTGACTCTCTGAATGCTTGATGAAAAGCATCTTCATTAGGTTATATTACACATTGAAGAAACAACATTAAAAAGCTGATGGTGTTCAGTGTTCCTCTCTAGAAAGTAACACACTTTTTTCTTTAGTGTCTAGTGAAGGTCCATGGCTCAAACTTACCCTGCAGGAGAAATATGATTACTACTACAACGTCGACTCAAAAGAGAGTTCCTGGGTCACTCCGAAACCTTGCTTGTGTAAAGAATCATGGCTCATGGAAAAAGAAATTAAGGTAGGATGTTATTGTTTGATGTAAAACTAGACTGTATAAAGATAAGTGTGATTTGTTTTTCTATTTTTTAATCATGGACGTAATGGGAGGAACTAATTGATTTATTTGAAGGCTGGATGTAGAGCAAAGTCTTTGTGAACTGCAGGTGGAAGTGGCAGCGTGGTTAATAACTTTCAGAATTTTTTCCATGTTGGCATAACACCATCAAGCAAAGCATTTGTGACTTATAATAAATCAATCTTCAGGTGCTCCTTGACATGAAAGTTCAATTAGGGATAATTCCTTGGTTGTCAGTATTCAAATGTCATTTCTTTCCCCCTCTCAGCCTACAACACAGCTATGTAAGATCCTTTAAAAAGTGAGTGATGGTTCCTGGAGGGAAATACTCTTGAAGGAATGTTCACCAAGATTACTTTGGACTTGAGAACAAAAGCTGTACCTAAAAGATGTGAAAATTGCTGTTTGAGCCAGGCATTGTAATATATTTAAAGAGAAAAATAAAAAATACTGAGAATAATTGAGCTCCATTTTGAAAACATAAGTAGACCTCACAAATGTAGAGCTTACAGAATTGTTCAAAGTCACAGCACCAAAGATATAGCAGTACTATGGACAGAATCACCAGTACTGTATTACTAAAACTCAGAGAAGACTGTGGCCTAGGACTACAAGGCCACCAGAAATCCTGACTGACAAGAAGATAGTGAAGAACATAGTTTATTAACTGATTTCAAGTGTTCAAAGTTCCCCATAATTTACAGGAAAATGGCATTGTGGCGATGAATTACTAGTGCTACTTTGTTGGGGGGGAAAATAAATTGTGGGCAATATTTAAAATCCATATGCTATAAATGAGAAGATGTATCAAACTGTGAAGAAGCAGCATCGAAGGGTTAAAATTCAGAGCTGAAAACTGGACATGTGGCATCCAGAGACACACTGGGCTTACCTTTGTGAAATTGAGCATCAGTCTGTTAGGATTATTAAAAACTGAGGGCCTACACCATACATTTAATTTCTTCTACACAATCTAGAATTACTAATTTTATTCCATCAGCGTGCATATATGTCTTCCCTTAAAGGTATTTATGCATCTTTTATATGATTTCACTTTCAATTATTTTAAATTGAGCACCCATTGATTTCAGTCGCACTGAATAAGAGGCATCAGCCATAGAAGCGAGTCCAGTCTCTGCTTGCGTCTCTCAGAGAACATAAAAGTACAGCCAGTCACAGTCCACATAAAGACTTCTCATCTTCCTCCTTCTTCCTTTTTTCTCATTCATCTAGGTTTTTCCTATCTGCCCATAATGGGGCTTGTCTTTCCTTCTGACACCCAGTCTTTTATTTTCCCTCAAATTTGAGATTTCCTCAAGTCATTGCAAGGGTCTGTCTTCTCTGTCCTGGTCGAGAAAGGCAGCAGAGAAGCCTACGGACCTCGTGGGCACTGCAGCCCTTTCCTTGGTGGTTTGAGGGAGAGAGGAGAGGTGCATATGCTTACTGTAACCTTCCCTGTCCCTTTTATACTCTGTGGAGCTCAGGCCTCACACCTAGCAAGGGCCAGCGTCATCGGTACCTCTCCACCTCCAAATCCTGCGATCATTCAACCACGTTCTCATGCCAACTCAACACAGCGTTTAGAGGATTCCAAAATCATGTTGCTAGGAAGAAGCTAAGCCAGCTCATCCCTCTCGGCTCTGGTCAGATCTGTTTGTACACCAAGCCAGAAAGAGCTATCCATATCATTTTCTGAAACATAAAATTTCCAGCAGCTGTTCTGTATGCTTCTTTCACTTGATGTGTGAGGAGTAACCATAAGAAATGTCTCTTGCCAGGACATTGTTGAGGAAGTCACAACAGGTTACATTCGTGAGAAGATGTGGTCTGCTCCCGAGGATTTCCTCCTTCGCCTTCAACACACACGCTCAGGAGCCCTCCTTAGGAAAGAGTATGAAGCTAGGAAATCATATTTGTATGAACAAGAAGAGCATGTGGTCAAAATACAGGTATGTGACTCACCTGCCACTAGTTACAGCAAACTGTTCTGACCCCTGAGAAATGTTGTCTTTGATAATAGGACAATCGACTGCCAGCATTCTAATAAACAAATCTGACTTCTGACTTCAGATTTTTTTCCTTAATCAGTGCCCCCAAGGCTGTTTTCTGAAGGCTCCAGGATGGGAAGGATGTTCAGTGACTTCTCACCTGTGGTTTTCGAGAGAGTATTCGGGGGCCCCGTGGATCCCACAGGTCCACCTGCCACCGACCTAGTCAGAGCCAGAGCAAACCTCAGATCAGATTTGAAATCCTGTTTCTCTTAACAGCTGGATCTCCTTGTGTCACCGACTTTGCTGTCTCGGTTTCCTGATGAATTGGTTTTTTTCGTGGTTAATGGATGTTGAGTGGCATCTGAAAAAAACAGAACAACTAATGAAATAGACTTAGCATCTCCAAGTGTGCCCTCTCCCTTATATAATCTGTCATTCTTCCTTTAGGTCTGCAGGAAAATCCTTAGTCCAGCCTGTTTGTTGTGAGTTGTTCTTACCCTTGCATGACTTGTCAGGACTTGCTGGTTGGCCAGAGAGGACCTTGCAGATGTAGATGTTTCTCCTCTGTATTCCCCTGCACCTTCTACCAGCCACCATGCTGGCTTCCAAAAGGCTGTGTGCTTGTCCTTTTTGTTGCATCCAAAGTGATACTGTTATTGATGGGCAGAGTTTGATGAATTTTTGCTTTGGCCAATAACTATGACATTTCCTAACTTGAAAGTTTTTCGTTGAGCTTCTTTTGTGTGACCATTGGTGTACTTATCTGCTTCCCCCACCTAACTATAATATCGTTCAGGACAGAAAATGAATCTTTAAAACTTGTATTCTAGTGTCTTGCATATGATAGGTGCTCGAATGTGTGAATTTGTCAGAGCATAAGATATCAGAAGGCAGAAATGATTAATTTTTTAAAAGCAATTTCTCCTATAAACCTGATACTCCAAAGGAGTTTTCTTATTTTTCAATACGTTTTTCAGTTTTTCCTTCTTTAAACAAATGGCAGGCAAAACACATAGGACGTGAACAAACGCATAAAAAGAGAATCATCTACACTGATGCTAAGGCTCTGCTTTTATACAAAATTCAGCGTGTCGGCTGATGTGACACAATTTGGACCAGCCCTAAGCTCTCCAGCCTTGGGGCATGAAGCAGGGTTGCAGTTGGAAGAGATTCTGAGGAGCCCACCATATAAAACCCATCTGATATCAGGACTCTGGGCTAAAGTCATGAGAGAGCTGGGGAAGGACAGAAACAATTATTTGGAGCCTTTTTCCTCCACCTCAGCTGAGGCCGCAGAATTGAAGAAGCCAGCGAACTATGCCCTGCCATGCCCTTTCTGCACTTCTCTGACAGTTTTCTAACAAGGAAGGGATGAGGTCTAAAGGCAAGCTATAGACTGGAGATGAATGTGTAGTCAACAGAAACCTGCTAACCCACAAAACCATGAACCACAGGGCATCATGCTAATCTCATTTCTTGCCAAAGTGGCTGGTTGACCCTGAATTAGGGGAAATGATCTGAATGAAATCTAAAGACTTCCCTCCACAGAGCAGCTCAACATTGCCAGCTGGCTGAATCAGCCCCAGACACAGTAGTCTTAACAAAATCAGAGAGGAAGCTCCCAGGCTGCGGGAAGGACACTCCAGCTCTACCACCCTCCCGCCCTCAGTCTCCTCCCAAGAAACTGAATAGTGGTACAGAGAATACATATCATCAGTAGCTAATCTTTATCTCAAGTGCTTATGGAACAAATCAGAAGGTGTCCACGTAAACATGGAAAGTCAAGAAGAATCTATATAGCCATTTTGGTTTTTTTTTCTCTTCTTTTGTTTTTTAAATAATGGACATTTTTGTCTCATTCTGATTTTAAAGGGAATAGCTCTTTCATTTCACCATTAAATATAATATTATGATTTTTGTGAGATAGTATTTCCTGAAGGTTAAGTTAAGGTTAAGAGTATCCATTTATTTTTAGTTTGTTTAATTTCTATTTAAATTGAAAAGGGGATATGAATTGTATCAAAAGTGTTTTATACCTATTGAGATTATTTGTTTTTTATTTTAATTGATTAATTCATGGCTAGGCTTTTTATTTATAAAACTTTGTTC